CGGTTTTTAAATAATTTTTAAATTTAATACTTTATTTTTAATTTTTAATTTTAATTTTAAATTAATTATATCTTTTAATTCTCATTTTAAACTTCATTGTTAATTTTACTTATTTTAATAGTTTAAAACTTTAGTTTCATTAAGTATTAATTTAATAACTTATTATTTATTCTAATATTTTAGTTTAATTATTTTTTATTTTAAATTTCATATAATTATAGTTTAAATATAAAATAGTAAAATTTTTAACATATTTTCCTTCTCAACAAAACGGTTGAGTCATTGAATTTTCAACAGGAGGAGTTTGAATCCCACGGTAGGCATTTCGCATGTACGGGAGGGTAGCGATCGAGCTGCTTTTTTTTTTAATTTTTCGGTGGCCGAATAGCTGCCTGAAATATTTTTCGTCAGAAGAAGGCCATCAGAAAAAATTTTCCTATATGGTTTTTACCGGCGGAAAATTTTCCGCCAGAAAGCCGGTGGTAAATTCACAATCAGTCATAAAATGATCAATTTTCACTGGAAAATGCCGTCGATAATAGATGATTTTTCTGTAGTGTTAGAATTTGAGAGAGAACAAATGAAGATAAGAAACCAATTCAATTTTGAAACGGGTCATATCTTTGTAATTTTGATTAAGAGAAAGATGCAAAACCAACTGTCTTGCTCCACTAATGATTTGGCTTTGTGGAAGGATTTCTTTTTAAAGAACTTAGGATCCTCCTATGTAATCAAGATAGAAAATTTGCAGCTGATACTAAAATAAAACTTGAAGTATTGGATTACAGGAAATATTCATATTCCAATTATGGAGGTTATTGCTATTCATAATCATGCTAGCTTTAAGTTTCTTGGAATGTTTAAAGACATTCCAACTAAAGTTATTTCAGAAGTTCATTGCTGGAACACTGTGATGAAGTGTATAGTGCTTGGTGCTACATAATTTCTTCACAAAGCCACTAAAAAAAGCTTAGAAACATATGGCAACATGTCGTCCAAAAAAGCATTGAATGTAGGAGGAAATATTATCTCAACATCATTGAAACCCATTAAAGAAATAGGTGCATCAATGTTGCAAATTCAGTCCAATTCCAATAAACTTAAAACGCCACCGGATCCACAAAACTCATCCAAGCGGACAGAAGGCGCTGCTTGAATTTAAAATGAAAGCTTGTGCACTTTCAAATGACAATCACTTGAGCAAAAGATATATTTAAATATTTTAAAATGCCCCTATTGCATTAAAAGATAATTCTCTGAATTTAAATATGAAGCATCGAATGGGATGCCGACACCTCTAAGATGCGTGCAACAACTTTGGGAAGTAAGTGATTGCTCTGAGAAGAGTGCTATCACCATGAGAAGCAAGTCACTATCCCGATAAGCATGTACATTACTTTAATAAGAATTTAAAAAGCCCACATGTGCTCTAACAAGTGTATCAAATGCCTGAATATAATATATGAGAACAATGTGTGACTGCATAAATTTTTGCATGTGCTCCAACAAAATACATTAAACCAATAAATATAAAGTCTGAGAATACTACACAAGAAACTTCTTTTCAAAAATGTTCTTAAATTTTAATAGTAAATCATTTTTTAAACTAAAATTTGTATGCCTATAAACCTAGTCCATAAACTCTCCCATTCTACATTTCACCTCCTGCCTATGACCATATGCGGTTGTCAGAATAATATGTTGATCCCACTGAGAATCTCTTACCAGCTCCAACCTAAATATCTCAAAATCGTGTATACTCCTAGAAAAAATAGCCTAACATTAATAATTATATGTGTCATTTTGTAACATTTGTATTAATATTTATAACTTAGAGACTCACAAATTCTTTTCTCGTTCGATGGTCCACCCACTATTAGTCCTCCCAGCATTGGTGTGTGCGATTGTGCAACTCAACAGTAGTGGGTTCTTTACCCAACATCTTTTTTTGTAATATACTTAGATTATTATTCATAACTTAACAAATCACTAAAATCTTAGATGATATGAATTATATGTTAAATTTCTTACCAATCATCGCATGTGCTCAATGTGTGGAACTGAGCCCATAGTATGGAGGGAGCTACCCATGCCCCTGAAATCAGAAGTTCTGTTTTGTCTATTCTGATCCCTCATACTAACATAATCTAGGCTGCCCAAAACTCTATTCAGGTCAGCCAATACTTTCTCACCAATTTAGAGCGGTCTCTCGCCTGACTCTTAATGTATATAAACATATATTTGATTTCGAATATCCATATAAAACTTGAGCTATAAAATCCCACATGTAAACATTGGGTCAAAATTAATATCAAATAACAACATGACAAAAGAAGGTTTGCTACTTTGTTGTACAATACCAACAATGTACTTAAAGTGTCCATATCTAAAGAAACTTCACAAATACTAGTCGATATGCAACTTTAGATGACTTGATACATTGCACAACTTTTAGTTTGGCAAATGTTAAATAATGTCTTCCATGTTAACTTACCCCAGCTCAGGCTTACATAATTTCTTGATCAATTTGACCTATATAAATATGAATGTGCATTTGATATGAATCATACTACTATGATGACAATCTTATTAGTCTCATATGAACCTCTAAGTGAAGAAACCCTTCATAATATGTATATGTTTCAGTTTCATATTTCATTGATACCTAATCTACTAGAACATGCTGATCTTATGAGGTGTGTTAATGAGTTGCTTAAAAAAAGATCTACATTCTAACTTTCCTAATTTTGCAACACATACATATTGAAATTCTCATTTATGTCACACTCAAATTTATTTATGACTTCCTTCTCTAACAATGACATTCAAATCCATACATTATTGCTCTAATCACAATATTCTAAAATTTATCTTTAAAGTTATCATGATCTTCTATTATTATACAATAGATATTTCACCATTTCAGTGACCAAGCTCTTATTTTCGAAGATAACTCCTTATTTATTTCATCATTCTTCTATATAAAGATCCAACTTACTTCATCACATCACACATGTGCTTGAACCTTATTTTATAGTAATATTGGCTAATAGTTTCTAATATCTCACCTATTAAAATTACATGTCATATATCCAATCTTTATTCAACTAATTCTGAGCCCTTTAACTTCAAAATATTCTCTCTATTATTTTAATTTTCTACTTATTTTCACTAATATCTCATCGATTAGATTTACCATTTGCTAAAAATAAAACCTGTAACTTCAAATATTTTTTATAAGCCTCTTTATGACTAAAGCAAAAACATACTAGCATGGATTTTCTTTGATGCAATCCAAACATGATTGGGAACTTTATGGTTACTCTACAACTACTTTTAATACTATTAAATATTCTATCATACTAATTTTAATAACTTCGATATACTTTGAGACACTTTTCCTTAATGTATGCCAAATCAATTTTCACATACCCAATCAAATGTCTTCTCAATAAAATAGGATGAAAATCCTTTTTTTTGCTCTATATAGGAATTTCATTAATTATTTCAACATAAAAATCATGTCCATAGTGAATCTTTAAATCATAAAACCAAAATAATAATCTGCATTGATCCTAAATGCCCACAAAAAACTAAAACCGGTAGAGGCTTGCCGAGAGGATCGAGTGGAGGAATGCGATGCGAACATCCATAGCAGAGCTACGATGAACGAAAATGATCTTGACGACGAAGCCCGAGGAATAACAATATGAACGATAATGCTGGGGGAAGGAGGAGCATGGTACGAGATCTATTTCATGTGAGTCGACTAAGAGAGAGGTGTTTCAACTTTCACGTGAAATAACGAAAGAAGGAACGAAATAATGAAAATATGGCCTTTCCTGGTAGCATTCCAAACAAAAATTTCCATCGAAAATTGCTGCCAATATATTTAAAACCGACAACACCTAAACTGTCGATAATTCCGACAACAAATATCCCGCCGAAAAAAAATCCAACGAAAATAGCATGATTTTCTGTAGTATACATCTTCCAATCTATTTTAACATGCCATCCAATAGGGCATGTCCTTATTATCGTCAGAATGTACCCAATTTTATAAAGATTTTAACTTAAGGTTGAATTTATAACATAATTAGATACATGATAAGGATGCCATTGAAGTCCAAATTATAAATTGAAAAAATCATAATACAATATCAAAATACATTACACTTCAATGAAAGATTTTAAAAACAAAAGATGGATTTACATACACGGCACTTAAAACAATACTATCTACATATCTAACATTTTTATTATGAGGGATTTACATACATACCACTTTATTTCATGCTATTTACATATCTAACACTCAAAATATTAATATTACATGCCTACCACTCATAGAACAAATTTGGGTGCATGGAATGAAATATTAAAGTTTATAAGATGATATGAATGATAGAAATGAATTATAGGAGTGATGTATTTGATATTAAAGTTGTATATAGATGGTATGCTTGTAATATTAATGTTTTGAATATTAAATATGTAAATATCATGAAATAAAATGGTATGTATGCAATTTTTTTTTTTACTAAAATATCTCTTCATCACTTTGCCACACAACATCATTTCTTACGTTCTTGAAATGAGATACAATGAATTAAAGTTGTGATGGGATCTTATTGAGAAAGGACATTAATGATGTAAATGACATGTAAATAACCCTCTCGAAATCATCAATATTAAAGATATGATGAAGATGGATAGGATCTCCCTAGAAAAAAAAAAGTCATTCATGGGATTGGTAGGATCTACATTACCCTCAATGACAAAGAAGATGTACATAATTAGTGATATAATTTTGTTATGAAAAGTGGATTGATAGGTTTGAGTATCAACAAATATAAAAACCTATAAAGGAAAAAAAAAAAAAATATTTGATGAACTATTTTAACACAAAATTAAGTAAAAGGTGATGAAGATAATATTAAAAAAAAAGGGCGATGAAGATGATATTTTTTTTATTTATTTGAAGAAATTCAATGTTACATCAACAAGAAGGCCACTTTTGCACTTGTTTGCCAAACCCTAAAATGTACGCTCTCTTAGATCGCATTCCTCAACTCAATCATTAATTAAATTTTCTTGCAATTTTGAAATTCTAAAGTGTAAACTCTCTTGGATCCTATAACTTTATCATGCCCATAAATTTCATTTGCAGCGTGTTCTCTTAGGACCCTGTGCTTTACTTTAGCTTTCTTAAATTCGTTTGCAACAATGAATCCCTAACGTGCAAGCTCTTAGATTCCACTACGTTACTCCTGCATTGGCATTAGTTTCATTTACTACAGTCAAACCCGAATGTGTAAGCTTTCTTGGATGCAATTACATAACCCGATTGCTCCATTAATTTTACTTGTAACAGTCAAGCCCTAACATCTAAGCTCTCTTGGATCCTATTACTTAACCATTTCTATTAATTTCATTCGTAACATTCAAACCCTAAAGTGTAAACTCTCTTTATATTATGTTATTTGATTCAATCATTCCATTAATTTTGATTGGAGCAGCCAATGTCACGCGCCAACCTGGGTGCATGGAATATCAAGGTGGGAACTGGCTATCAGACAAAAATTTAGATATTTCTATTAATATTAAATAATATTGAAACAATCGTTTATAAATTTCCTTCTAAAATCAATTTCTAATTCATATAAATAGCTACTAATTCTTGAATTTCATTCTATTTCAAAATAACCACAAATATGCTATTGTTTACACAATATTCATAAAACATAAAAACATTTCACTTGTTGCTTTATGTCGACAATGCACAAACTATCTTCTCTCACTTATTTAATTCTTAACATCATTTCTTCTAAATATTTATTAAATAATAACGTTGAGTTGTAAACTCAACTCAATGGTAAATTATGGATCTAAATCATTATAACTCAAAAGAGAGAAACACCATGTATGATAATAAATTAATAGAAAATTTTTATTTTATTCAAATATGAAAATATAAAAAGGACTTTGATCATTACTTCCTATGGTGATAACAAGGATAGGAAAGGATCATATCTTATTTTGCATTATTTGTTTCATTTTTATATAAGATAATCATCACGATGCCATCTAAATGTATCCTTTAAGATATACCAATATCATTTTCAAAATCTACAAATTGTTAATCATTATACATGCAAGTGCAAGCGTCTCTAACTAGTACCATAAGGGATGAACTCCATTGATCAACATACACATACAAACATTTCCATATAGATCGTTTTATTTGCATTTTTCTTATCATTGAACAATTTTATATAATGCACATTGTATATTATAATATAAAAAATTGGAGCATGTCATGAAATATATATCGTTCATTTCAACATGATGAATTATTTTCAATGATATAGATAAATCATATTTGAATTTGAAATAACTAGTGTCAATACTAATTGATGCATTTAATTTAGAGGAATGATATCATCACTATGGGTTGTCTTGCCCTTTAATCCTTAAACTCCACCTCCTTTAGTTTAATGTCTATAATTATTCACATGTGATATTCATGCTAATCTATAGTGTAATATGAACTCATATCTTTTATATAATTTGATTAATCTTTGCTTTTATTTAAATACCCAGCCCTATTCAAGGTTTGCAACTATTTAATTTAATGTTTAATATATTATTACAATTAGACTATTAACCTTTAAACATTTATTTCAAATATACACAGCATAACATTTAAATTTCTTTTATTTTGCTTTTATGAATTTTTCTTAAATCTTACAACAATCAACTTTTTTTTATTTAAGTTTTGTGACATGAAAACATAAAGCTTTCATAACTGAAATTTATATTTTCTTATTATTACTGACTTTATTAATTTTATTCTATTTAAAAAATTAAGTGTTGCTACTCTTTTTGCAAATAAATATCAAAGTGCGTAATGTGAAATTTTCAGATTTTCTAATTCACAAGTAATATTAAAATATTATTCCTCCCTCTCTCTTTCTCTCTCTCTCTCTCTCTCTCTCTATATATTATAATAATATATATATATATATATATTCTTTTCCTTTTGCAAACTAATTACCAAAACCCTAGCAAGATTTCTTTGTAAACTAAAACTAATTTTATAATTTCTTGATTTGATGATAAAAATATTAGTTTAATTTTACCTCTGAGACCAACGCATTCACCTTGCTTGATACCCTCACTCATTTCCTTTGTTGAAGGGGAACTTTTTATGATGAGATGACTCCTGCTCGATCCCTTGCCCGCTCTTTGTCTCTCACTCATTTTCTTGTACTTGCTCAACTTGCATTTCTTTCACTTTTTCTCCCTCTCTCTTTCCTTCTACATTGCCGTTCGCATGATTTCTCTTTCTCAAAATCCCATTACTTTACTACTAGACCATTCAAATAGTTTCATTTGCAGTAGTCAAACCTTAATGGGTGAGCTCTTTTAGATCTCATTATTTTACTTTGCCATTCTATTAATTTCATTTTGTGATAGTTGAATTCAAAAGTGCAAGTTTTCTTAAATCCTATCACTTTATTCGATCATTCTTTTAATTTCCTTTGAAACAACCAAACACTAAAATGAACGCTAAGGTGTAAGCTTTGTTATATCCTATTACTTGATTTTCCCTTCAATTTCATTTGCAACAGTCAAACCCTAAAGTGTTAGTTCTCTTAGAGCTTATGTCCTATTGCTTTTGCTCATACCATTACTCAGAGCTTATGCCCTATTGTGATACGCCATTGCTTGATCTCCTCTTTAATTTCATTTGCAACAGTCATTCCTTTAATTTTGAATCAGCCAAACACTAAAATGAACTCTAAGATGTAAGCTCTGTTATATCTCATTACTTGATCTTCCCTGTAATTTCATTTGCAACAGGCAAACCCTAAAGTTTTTTTTTTCTCATTAAACTTATGTCATATTGCTTTTGCTCATCCCATTACTTAGAGCTTATGTCCTATTGTGATATCCCATTACTTGATCTTCCCTTTAATTTCATTTGCTGTATTCATTCCTTTAATTTCCTTTGTACCAACCAAAAACTAAAATGAACACTATGGTGTAAGCTCTGTTATATCCCATTACTTGATCTTCCCTTTAATTTTATTTGCAACCGTCAAACCCTAAAAATGTTAGTTCTCTTAGAGCTTATGTCCTATTGCTTTGATACAGCCAAACACTAAGTTTCACGCTCTGTTATATCCCATTACTTGATCTTCCCTTTAATCTCATTTGCAACAGCCAAACCCCTAAAGTGTTGGTTCTCCTAGACCTTATGTCCTATTGCTTTTGCAACAGTCATACCAAAAAGTGATCAATAAGGATAAGTGTTAGTTCTCTTGGAGCTTATGTCCATTATTTTCATTTGGACCTGTCTAACACTAAAGTGTAACCTCTATTTGATTTCATTATTTGGATCATTCTATTGGTTTCATTTGCAATAGTTAAATCCTAAAGTGTCAGATCTCTTAGGTGACTATAAAAAAAAATGAAGTAAAAAATCAAAGCAATATGAAGCAATTTACCTGTCTTCGGCCCCACCTCGAACGACTTGCCTCCAAATGAAGCAACCCTTCGTTCAAAATGAGGTAACCGCCTGTTTATTCCTTTAAAATGATCGGTAGGAGTGATAAAAAAAAAGGGATCGCGTGGCTTCTTCGACTCCTTCATGCTGTTCGGCCTCGTTGCTTCGTAGGAGGCGCAGAGATCGCAATCCTCGCTCCTTCGAATTCAACGTCGCTGTTCGACTTCGTTGCTTCGCAGGAGGCGTCTAGGGTTCACCTTTCATCTTCTCTTTTCGTCTGTGCTGTTTGGTTTCGTCACTTCGCAAGAGGTGCAGAGATTGCACGAGTCGCTTGTTCCGATCCTTCATTACTGTTCGACTTCAGTTCGCAGGAGGTGCAAAGATTGCACCGTTGCTTCTTCGGTTCCTTCGTGGTTGTCTGACTTCAGCTCCTTTGTTGCCGTTCGATTTCTCTCTTTCGACTCCCTTTTCCTGTCCAACTTTGTTGCTTAACAGGAGGTATAGAGACTTCACGAGTCTTTCTTCGGCTCCTTTGTCGCACTTCGATTTCGATCCTTCAACGGCTACCCTAGCCGAACCCAACCATGCCCTATTGGACTCCTCTCTCCCTCTCTATTATATGATATCTTATATATTTAATGTATATTATATCTTATAAAATTGTATGATATTATATAAATATTATAAGAAATTATATATGTATATGAAATGAAATGAAAATAAAAGAAAATAAAATTAGAAAGAATAAGAAGTATTTTAAAACAGGTGTCAAAGAACTTCCTCAGAGGCGCCGTCAAACGGACCTTAGTTCTCATGGCTCGGGATGGTTTGAAAATGGAAGACCCCACGCCATAACGATCCTTGTGATATTGGGGCAGTATGATTTTTAAAATAAAGACCACGGGCCGTCGTATCTTAGATCCTGCCAGGTGATGGGTTCTGAAATCGAGACCTACGCGCAATTGACTTATGTCGGAGTAGGAAGAATATTAGGCAAGCGCCGTGCTCGATTTGTCTCCCTCGATGGGGAGGGGACGCCGGGAGGCTGGTCGAAATTTCCTTAGAAAATACAAGTTTTTGTTAGGGGCAATTGGAAAAGCAAATAATTTTCCTTTAATTAATTGAAATTAATTAATAAAAATTAACTAATTAATTTAGATTAATTAAATAAAACTAATTAATTAATTGAGGTTGATTAATTAATACTAAGTAATTAGTTGAAATTAATTAAAAATAATTTATCAATTAGAATTAATTAATCTGAATTAATTAGTTAATTAAAAAATTAATTACGTAATTAAAATTGATAAAAAAGTCATTTAATTAATAAAAAAAATTAATTAGTCAAAATTAATTAATTAAAATTGATTAATGAAATTGGTTAATTAAAATTCGAGAGCTGTTATTTAAAAAATTTGAGACTTTTGGTTAATTAAATTAATTAATCAAAATAGAGTTCTTTGTTAAATAAAATAAAAAGACAATAAATAAAATGGAATGGGAAGAATGTTTTTCACTATTTGACATGTACA